AATTTTGTAATGTCACGCTTAGTGGTAATAGATTGGTAACAAGATTTGGTAAAAGAAGATTCTACTACTGTATGCTACTGCTCTGCACTACAACATTTGCTGCTGCTATTGGCACTGCAGTACAATACGCTACTGCTACTACACAACTACTGCTTGCTGTTGCTCCTGTCCCTGCTAGCTACAATACATGCCTGTCTGCTTGGCTGTCCTCTAGCTACAACGATACTGCTTCTGCCGTTGCTGTCGCTCTACTAACTGCTTCCCATTTCCTGTGTTCTAGTACTGACAAGTAGCAGGGAAAAGGAAACGTGAGATTAACTAAGCACTAAACTTACTCAATTGCAGGTTCATCTATCATTACGTAGCCTTCGTCCACAAGCCGCAGCTGACACGATCCAACAAGTTGAAGCACATCTGAGATGACTTGCACATCTGGTTCACGCACGGTCGTCAACATCTAAGCAACACACAAAAACATACATTAGCTTCTGCATAAGTGGAAAAACTGCTAAATATTCTTACTACACCGGCGACACTTGGCTTCGCCTTTTACTTCACTCCTACTAAGTCAAAACTCAGATTAACGCAGTTAAACCCACAGCACATTGGACAAGAGTGAGTTTTGAAATGAAAATTGTGAATTCAATGTCCCGTGTGTGATGTGAATATGTAGAAATAACCCACATACATGTCCACCATAATAGGTTTAAACATAGATAAATTATTCAATATATTGTGTCTATGCAACTCTGCTAAGTGCTGGGATAAAATGTAAGACTATATAACTAGAATAACTGATTTAATATTTTCTTGAAAGATATAGAACTTTGCTCACAAATAAATGTCGTGCAATGGAGAATATAACAATGACACGCAGCTTACACCTACCACTGCCCATGAGAGGCCGTTGCCTGTAAATCGTTCCCTGCAGTCACACAGAAAAGCTCGCGGCCAGAATGTTAGAGCAGCACAGCCTCACTGCTGCAAATCAATCAAGGTCTCATCACTACTCGTCCACATCTGTAGAACAAGAAACAAAAACAATTATTAAACAGAGGAAGGAATCATAGAAGCGAATATTTTGTATAATAATTATACGCAAAATATAGAACGTTAATTAAACGCAATAAAACATTTTGATATCATTTGTGAATTACAACTAGCAGTATATAACCTTGCGTTTTATAGTTTGAACAACGTTAAAAACCAAACCATAGTAAAACAGATCCTAACTTTGCGCAAACATTATGCGTTAATTGAGTGAGACAATACCAAGGCAGTTCACTCCATTGCCTGAATATAGCCGATGTCACATTCGCAGTTGAATCGACCATCAGTGTTTTGTGCATAGTGCGTTCGCATCGCAGTTGTCAAGTCCCGAACGACATTCGCAGATATCTGATACAGGAGAAAAAAGTCCAGTCATTCTGGTAATCCTACACTCGCACATGCCACAAGTAGATATTTTTAATTAAAAAAGTACAATATCGAGCTATTGGGCGCATATCAGGTTGCAAAAATAGCGTTAGAAATAAATTCTTGAGTTTAAAACCGTATGAAAAATTCATAACTAGTTTAAAGTTAAATTATTGTTGATGTAAATTAAATTAAAATTCAATAAATTAAACCATTTCGAAGCCCGCTTCGGCAATCACTCACCGCTGCAGGTGATGACACCGTCTCCTTGGTAACCGTGTCGCAGTCACACACGTAGCTTCCATCAGTGTTGCTACAGGCGGCCGGGCGTTACATCGTCCAACCCTAGCTGGCATTCATTGGTCTCTAAAATGCGATATACATGACCGATTGATTAGTTACCAGAATCATAATGTCGGTGTAATCAAAATCAAATCAAAAATCAAACACAAAATCAATCACAATCAAAACGTATATATTCAATGACGTGTAAAACGCGAAACAGGTTGGGAGCTTTAAATGTATTCGAGAACAAATTTGAACAGAACGAATATTGGCAGATTGACTAAGAACTATCGGGAGCACGACAGGAACATTACGTGATGTTCCACCGGGAATCACATACCCGCGACTCTGCGTATTATTGTGTAAAACGCAACTACAAAATGATAATTCTCTGAAGACAATTAGCACATTGATAATCACCAATCTTCTCATGTAAATACTTTAAACATTATACCAAGGCACTGCGTTCCATCTCCTTCGTAGCCGGCGCGCACTGACATCGGAAGCTACCTCTGTGTTGTCACAGTCAGCCTTGAGGTCGCAGTTGTCAGTGTTTAGCGCACACTCATCATTGTCTACAGATCAATAACAACATATATAATATCACATCAATATATATACATACATATATATGTAATACATATATATATATATATATATACATCAATAATGATAACAGAACACCGTTATTAATTAAAGTACCGGCAGATGTGTTCATCTTAAATTTCGTAAAATCAGTGCTATTTCACGTATGTATACCTGTAGGTCTTTCAGACCCTGATTTAACTGATGTAAATTAAAAGCACTTGAAAGTCATGTTTTCTCGAACTAATCATTAAGGTATCAGAATTAAATTATAATAATAATAATAATAATAATAACTTATTTATTATTATTATTATTATTATTATTATTTGCAGATTCTGTTGTTCGGTGAGTTGCTGGCTACCTGTGCATAGGCGACGTCGCGCGGTGAAACCTGTGGGACATGTGCAGCGGTAACTGCCCATGACGTCAACGCAGAGGTTGTCGTCGCAATCATCAATGCTATAGCAAGCACTCGTTCATATCTGCAATGACACGGACAACCGCGCGCTATGACGTGATCCAGGTAGATGTTATTTAATCTCGTATAGTGGTAACTTCGTTCATATTGACAAATAAATCAGTGCATAGATAAATGAATGAATAAAATAAGTAAATAAATAAGTAAATAAACAATTAAATAATACATAAATAAATAAGTAAATAAATAAATACATAAATAAATGAATGAATAATAAATAATAATAAATAGAATGCGCACACCTCCTCACGCTCGGCCCAGATCAAAAGGATACACAGCACGAAACCTAAATATCAGAAAACAAGCTTATCCACATTAATTTATCGGCAGCAATTGTCTTCGATGTACGATATCGTAATATGTGACACATGCGGTTAGATAAGATAGAACACGATAGAACATTAATTCTACATACTTAGACAGTTGATTCCATCTCCGGAGAATCCAGGCATGCAGTCACACATGAAGCTGCCGGGTGGGAAATTCAAACAGTCGGCCCTCACGTTACAGTTATGCGTGCCGTCGCTGCATTCATCGTTCTCTGCATGCAAAGATATTATACGTGTATCACGTTGACGAAGAAGGGCACACATTAACTGTTATCATTTCATTTACTGTGTGTAGATAAATTCAAATTTATATTTAAGCTAATATATCAAGGTAAGAACATCAAGGTAAACTATAGAATTATGTGCGCGTTGGATTACGATAGTCTTCGTCGGTATATACTAACTGTTGTATATCAGAGAAAATTTAACAGAAAAAAAGAGAAATTGAATTGAAATAAAGCGTATTCATCACACACCTTGACAGATGACACCATCTCCCCTGAAGCCGTCCAGACAGCGACACTGGAAGCTGCCGATGTCGTTAAGACATCTCGCATTTTCGTCACAGTTGTCAGTGTTAGAGGTGCACTCATCCACGTCTGAAACATCCACCACGCTGACATGATATACAGGCCTGATGGTAGGAGCTGAGAGTGAATATTGTGAAGATTAGAATAATGATACGTGCCCTTACAGTTGTGTGCGTGCGTAGGTATGTGTGTGTGCGTGCGTGCGTGCGTGCGTGCGTGTGATTAGTGAGATTCTGTGTACCGTTAATTCTACGTCATATATTATACGGGCTTCAACATCCCACGTCAGTGGAACCGTTAGTTATCACGCGTCTGTTTTCCTTAGTTCATAACACGGTCTCTCATGTCTCTATATGCGGGTGATATTTACCGCTGCACTGGATGCCATTTCCCGTATATCCGGCATTGCAGTCACAGGTGAAGCTGCCGTCAGTGTCGGCACACATCGCATTCACATCACAGTTGTGCATCTCCATCTGACACTCCATCATAGCTGAAGATAAAGACACAACGAGAACGTTAATTTGCCATTAATTAAACTAATTAAAGTTAAGTTAAGTAAAGTAATTAATTAGCAGCGGGACGTGCGTGCGACATAATGACATTGCAGCTCGCGCAATATACATTCAATGCATGAACAACTGTTAATGACAACAATAACAACTTTGAGATGCGGTGCAGTAGTGCTCGGTCCAGCGCATGAAGGCATGACCATACTAGAGTCATATTAGAGCTTGCGCATGTCTTTTTGCTCACATAACTATTAACAACAACAACTTGTAGATGCGGTATGGCAGTGTTTGCTCTATTTTAATCATCTAGAGGCTATGGCACGCATACATCGAGTATTACAAGTGAGAGGCTGTTCACAAGCTATGCATGCGATACGGTTGTACACGCGATACGGGACTGCAGTAACAATACACTACCCTCTCCCCCATAACTAGTTCACTACATTTTTCTATTGAAATTTGATTTATTTTTGTACTTTTTCAGCATTTCGCAACATCTCTCCGGCATTAATACGACGTTCACCGAATGACAGACAGTACACCGACCGCGTGCATCTACAATGAACAGATCCACAAAGCACTGCTCTCCTGCTCGTCCTCCTGGATCCCCCCCCCCACCCCAGCGATCAGATGAGGCGTGAATTATCCGCGTCATAAAGGAGCGTGTGATACTGACCGCATCCTGTGTTATACTGACCGCATCCTGTGTGCATCCCCCGCAAACGCAGTTATCGCATTTACCATAAGGCATTGACCGCCCGTCGGCCGCATTGGTCGAGTGAAGGACAAGGTACGCTGCGTTGACAAATCTTGCATGGCTAATTTACGACATGCGACTATAGTTTGCAACCAGCTGGTAGACGACGATTAGCGCGTAAATGTTATCTGCATGCACGCGCTGAGCTTATTTATATATATATATATACCACGGGATATACTTCGTGTGTTCGCAGCGGATGGTGAAATTAACAGAAAGCTGCCGATTTCAGTTTTCTATTGCCATTCATGCGTCCTTCAGAGCGCGATAGCGACACAGACCTACGCCGCCCCACAATTAAAGCGTCACAGAATATTCCATGGACAGTCAGATGTCGTATCGGATATCCGGATCTGTCGCTGGATTCGTGTATACGCGTGCGATTGGAGTTCTTCCAGTTGAGTTGGCTGCGTTCGTCATATTCGTCTTCCGTGGTGCGTTATTCTGCTCTAATAACCAGCCATTATGAAAGCCGAATAGTTTGGGAAAGCACTCCGACGCTATTAATGACATTCAGAATTCGTAGGCTAAACAAATTATCAATCTTTCGCCGGCGTGGGTTTGTATACGTGCCCTCTGTTACGTATGCGTGGACTGTGAAGCATAAAATCTATGATAGCTAGATGGTTATGCAGCTCGCGCTCTCTATCAAAGGACATGTTGTGCTTATTACTCAATATATATCAGGTTTATTAACGTGGGATAAATATGTAGATAGGAGGCGATGTGTGTGTGTGAGCGCGCGCGCGCGCCCGCGTGCGTGCGTGTGTGTGTGTGTGTGTGCGTGTGTGCGTGCGTGCGTGCGTGCGTGCGTGCGTGTGTGTGCGCGCACGTGCGTGTGTGCGTGCGTGTCCATGTGATGCGTGGCCCATCGCGTGCGCACAGAAAACCTTAGGATTCAACCGTCTTCCGCATAAAAAGAAAAAACCTGCCTGTAGTTGAAACGACTACAGGCAATGTTGAAGACGATCAGATATCTGCGATGCTCATTTGTCTTGCTTCTGCATCGCGGTACCTTTATACGCCAAGGCGCGAAGGTCACAGGCAACCGTCATTGCCTGCAGGCATACACACACACACGCGCGCGCGCTGTTTTTGTGAAAGCAAGTCGATATTATATAATATAATAATAATACGTAATATTTAGAACAACGTCGCATATTTCACATTAGCAATTCGGTAGTGGAACTGTGCCCCGTAGAGAACGTCCGGGCCGCGAAATTTTTTTTCCCCACTTGAGTTCCGGACCCACCATAGATAGTGTTTTGTAATATATGGTTCGTATATATATGGTTGGATTATAATTAGTGTTAGGGTTCTGTTACGTGTTAGGGTTAGGGTTAGGGTTAGGGTTAGGATTAGGGATAGTGGGGATTCATTTTACATTGTTGCTTCGAGGAAGTGGAGTGCGCTGATTGGCTGTGGTCCGGAACTCAAGTGGGAAAAAAAATTTCGCGTCCGGGCCTCTGCTTCTTCACGCATGAAAATTCGGTAGATTTACTCTGTCTCACGACGTGGTTACTGTCATACGTCACTCGCTTCTTTACGACAAATATGTTATGACAATTATTTTATTTACGACAAATATTTTACGACAATTATTTTATAATGACAAACAATTTCTCGCTGCTTTAAAACGGTGACAGTAAGGATGAGACGGTACGACAATGATCGATAGATGGCGTTAAGATCGATCGATCATCGATAGATGGTAGGTTGCTGCTCACCTATGCACGCCCCGCGTCCGTCCGACTGATAACCTTCCCGACAGTCGCAGCGGTAGGTTCCATCCATGTCGACGCACTGCTGGTTGGGGTCGGGACATGTGATCGTACTGCATTCATCGACGTCTGTGGAGAAACAAGCCAAACGTTTGTGATAAACCACCAAAGACGGTTTTTGAAAAAAATGATTGCCATATGTTGTTTTAAACTGCCGCGAAGTAATTTTGCCTTGCGAGAACGATGTTAAAAATATTGAACAGCGATATAGTAAAAACAGATATTCGATGAAATCATCAATTCGCGCTATCAAGTCATACCGGCGTGTGTGTGCGTGCGTGCGTACGTACGTGCGTGTATGCGTGCGCGGGCGCGTGTGCGTGCGTATATAGGTGGATGTGCACCATGGCTAGCTATAACTGCATGCACAGGACACATTACAGTCAACATTTCACACCAAGGTAATTCAATCAGCAGTGTAGATTAAGATCGCTCTTTTCAACGTTCAATACCCATATCGGAACATAAAGATCGGCGCTTACTTTCGCACGTGACTCCATCGCCGCTGTAGCCTCCCTTACACTGACAACGGTAGCTGCCGACGGTGTTGCTACAGAACGCGTTGACGTTACAATCATGCGTTCCTCTTGTACACTCGTTCACATCTGAAAATCACAGCATCGCATAATCAAACAACGGAATTCTACCCTCGAGTCAGTCACGCCGTGAATTCTCAATAGATTCCACAACAACAAACCAAAAGTTAAGAACTGGAACACTTGCAGTGACGTCATTGTTTGATCAGATCACAAACTGCGTTCTAACCAACGTGATGACACCTTGATCGGTGACCTGTGACAGAATGACAGCCGTAATAGGATAAAGGAAGGATTTCAGTAATGGGAGAGCGCATTCGTGCTGCTCTTCTATGTAACAGCAGCATCTCGCGATGTTCTCACCTGTACACACGAAGCCATCTCCCGTAAAACCGATGATGCAATCACAGGTGTATCCGCCAAAGGTGTTCTCGCAGTTTGCGTAAGCTGAACAGGTGCTAACGCCCGTAACACACTCGTTGATATCTGCAAGTAAAGTAGTAAATGGTAATACTACACATTACGGAGCTACGTGAGCTAAAAACAATATAGCCAAAGTACACTTTAGGTACACTATTGACAGAAATGAAATTAATGTTAACATTAGTCTTAACATTAACCTTCTTAATTTTTCTTAATATCAGTCGTAACATTAACTCTTTCTCATAGACCGCTAATAGAAACATTGCAATGTTACGAGTTTCTCATAGAGCAGAGTATAGAGGTCCGGTCTACTGGTAAAAGTTGAGGTTAAGACTAATGTTACTAATTTTGTTTCTAACAGCGGGCTCTAGATTTTTGGCTACGGTTACCGTGGATATGGTGTGGTGTAGAATAGTGAAGTGGTGGTCTATTGCAAAAGATTTATGACCTGTATCAGAAATGCTCGCGTGGACAATAATCATATAACTAAAAAAAGAAGTTTGTTTTAATGTAAAGAGAACCAAAGCACAACCTGAACATTCGATGATTCCATCGCCAAGAAATCCGCTTGGGCATTCGCACGAGAAACTGCCAGGTTCATTCTGACACTCGGCGTTTCGGTGGCAGTCGTCCATACCCAGCCTACACTCGTCATAATCTACGGGAATAAAGTGTTGTTGACTGGTATGTAGTCACGCGTAATGGTACTGGTGTTACTATGCTCGCAATGCTGGGGATTCATGTCATATAGCTTCTAGGTACGTCGTGACTGTCGGTCATGCGACTAGAATGTTTAGACTGACTGCGAAAAGGGTTGACATATATTCAGTTGACGTAAAAAGACTATTTCAACGAGTTGCCATGCGGATAGGTGCGCAATTTTGTCTTTTTTACGATCGTCCCAATTTTCTTCATAGTCGAACATTAGCCGTGGCTGTGAAACTGAATATCTATGCATGTAGTTTACGCATAAAACGTTTGGTTGTAGAATTCTTGACCGGTTTTAGAGATATAGCTGCATCCCTAAACATAACTTCGCAGTCGTAAACATAACTCCAACCATAACCGTAAATTCTGGCTATCGTCTCTTCAAACACTTCTGTGTTTTTGTCTGCCCTTAGCAGACAGCATTTACGTTACCAGGAGCTCCAGTCGTGATTCTATTCGTTCCAGTTCAACGAATGATTTTTCACGCCTAGTATACCGACCGATATACGGTTTAGAGTATCGCCTTCATTGCTCCATTGACAACGACGGCCCCCTAGCGACAGCACGAATTGAAAGTGTGACTACTATATACAGACAGTGAAGTGGTTTTCCAGGTCGACCTACCTGAGCAGGTGAAAACGCCGTCGCCCGTGTATCCGTCGGTGCATTCGCACATGAAGCTACCGATCATGTTCGTACAGGTGGCACTGTCTGCGCAGTTGTCGATGCCGTGCGTGCATTCATTTACGTCTGCAAAAAAAGGGTCACGTCTGAAAAGACGAACTCTTGACTATAGAGCCGCGACACGATGTATATGTCATGTACTACCCGTCGTTAATGCTAAGGAGGGCGGTTTGTTGTTGTTGGGGTGTGGGGTTGTGGTGGTCGTGGACTCTGCTATGGGTGGGCGTTGCGTGGTGGTTGGTGGTGCTGCTTGCTGCTGCTGCTACTGGTGGTGTGTGTGGCTGCTGCCTGCTGCCTGCTGCTGTTGTTTGCTACTGGTGTGGTTGGTGTGCTCGGCTGGGCTACTGTGGTGGGTGGTCGGTGGTGGTGAGGGTGCGGCTGGTGACTGCTGCTGCGGCTGCGACGGTGCGGGGGCTGGTGGTGGTGCTTGCCTGCTCCGTATGCTGCTGCCCACTGTGGTGGTGGTGCCGTGGGCTGCTGCTGCTGCTGCTGCTGCCTGCTACTGGTGGTGTGGTGTGGGGCTGCTGGCCTGCTGCTGCTGCTGCTGCTGCTGCTGCTACTGGTGGTGGTGGTAGTGTTTTAGGTATGACGTTGTTGTGTACGCCTAAATCTAATTACCTGAGCATTCGACACCTGCTCCAGCGAACCCGGACAGGCAGTGACAATTGAAGCTACCCTCGGTGTTGTCGCACATGGCATTTCTGTCACAATTGTCTTCGCCAAACAAACATTCGTCGTTGTCTGAAATATACCATCAAGCATGTAAACAAAAATATACCATCCAACCAGTATCAAAGATATACGATCTAACCAGTAACACAAATATATACACGATCAAACTAGCAACAAAAATATACGATCCCACTAGTAACAAAAATATACGATCCCACTAGTAACAAAAATATACGATCCCACTAGTAACAAAAATCGTCAAGCAAATCGAATTTAAAATCACAAAAATTTGAAGAATGGTCAGAGGGCGCAGCGTATACTGCGAATAGTATGGACATACGATATTTTATAAATTATTGATTATATTTAATTAATATATATATGCTGCGCCGTGCTTAATGATCTCTTCTCACCTCTACAGGGTAATTCGTCACCAACGTAGCTGGCCGACACGTGCATTCGTAACTGCCGATAGTATTAAAGCAATCGGACAATATCATCAAGAGCACACCAATTAACTCGCATCGTCTGACTCATCTGAAGTTAACAAGCGAGTATGATATCGACACGTGAACTTTCACACAACTGACCAGTCCTAATACATGGTCGATAGCATGGGGTGGTAGTGGGAAATTAGTTGTTTTTTTCACGTAATAAGTGAGCATGATTTAAGCAAACACGACTGACACTGGTGACTCGTACATGAAACGATTCACTATCTACACTTATACTACTCTATGCTCTCACACGAGTAAATAATAAGGAACCGCAACAAAATAAATAAATTAACGTGCTTACTCGGGTTGAGATAATCATATGCGACTACGTGAATACGAACAGGATGTTTGTGTTAGCTGCCCATGGCCATGTGCGACACCTATGCCTGATGCTCGTGTGGTCACGAGTGCCTTCGTCTGATTCATACATATTGTTTATCACGTGTATAACAATTTATTCAGTATCCGTTATTTATAATTACTTATCAGAAGCATGCGATTGTTGGTAAAGAAGGGTTTTGGATTAGCATTCTACTCGGGGCTCGTGCGCGGACTCTAAACTCTAGCTCAAAGCAATGCAGCGACGTACGCGTGACACAGTGATGGATCTTCGGGGCGTGTGTGGGCAAACATCAGTCAGCTACAAGAAACAGCGGGTGTGGGACTGCCCCGGATGATCTCTCGACCTTCAAATCTCGATGACACGAGCCGTCCGGATGTGACAGCCACGTGACAGTAAAGACAAGCTCGCATGTAAATAATCACCGCATGTATGGGCGTCTTTCATTCACATCAGACATCGCCTTATTATATAAAACAATGCCGTGTATGTATCCTGCGGTTGTTTTTCACAAACAGGTATATATATATATATCTGGAATATAATATCAGAGCATATAATGCGTTTGGCATCCGCATGTCTTGGCCAACAAGTTAGTATCATGGGGTAATGCGGGGACATAATGACCAGGACGTGCGCTGAGAAGTAGCTACGTGCATGTAAGATATTGAAGCGCGATGTTGCCGCACTGGTACAAATGCGAAGTGTTTACAAATGAGCAACAGGCGACCGTGTTTAAATTGTTTTTATAAGATGTTATAGGAACGCGAGCGATTTTTTCCAATCAAACCTGAAGACACGCAACCTACTTTCCAGCTATGCACTCACCAAAACCAATTACATGTTCTGTATGTAATGCCCAACCATATATAGTATGCGTCATGCATCGAGACGAATTTAAATCGAAGGAGCATCGTCCTACATATTATCATATTATATATAGAGCTCTAAGATATTTGCTTAGTATGTCCTTGTATTGCATACATAATTGGTTTTTGCATCCTGACAGCTCGTTGTAACTACCTGCAGCAAACTACCTAACTACCTACTACCTAGCTACCTACTACCTAGCTATCTACTACCTACTATCTACTATCTAACTACCTACACAATTCCAGCAATTAAAAAGCAATCAGAAAACAACAGGAACGGGAGAAGAAGGGAGAAGGGACGAGAAGGGGAGAGAAACGAGGAGAAAGAAATAGAGAGAAAGAGAGAGAGAGAGTGGAGAGAGAGAGAATGAAAGAGAGCAATAAAGAAGGAACGAGGGCGAGAACAAGCGAGAAGTTTGGAGAGTGGTTGAGTGCATGCGTAAACATATATAAACAACGTACCGGCGCAAATCTCGTTCTCATAAACGTATCCCGGCGGACAGATGCATCTATAGCTTCCGTCCATGTTCTCACACTTAGCTTCCCGAGGACACATATCATCCATCATACACTCGTTCATATCTGCAAAGTAAAGAAAACGTTTAATATATACGATGATTACTTATTATATATATAGATAGTATAAATATATAATAGAATATATATTCCATAGTTACACAATTAAGGTAAGCAGAGACATATCGGTCAGTCCCAGTGAATACTGAGAGGTGTGCGAGCGAAAGAAAAAGGAAACGTAAGTAAGACATCAAAACAGCAGAGAATACAGACGGGAGATGAAGGGAAAACGAAAGGTCATCACGTTAGAGAGAGAAGCAGAGCGAGCAGCGATGAGAAACGAGAGGAGAGAGACGAGATGAGAGAAGAGAGATAGAGATGGACGAGCCCGAGAGAGAGTAGGCCGTAAGAGAGCAGAGAAAGAGAGAGCTAGGACGAGGAGAGATGAGGGGCGAGCAGAGAGAGAGAGACGACCGAGAGCGAGAGAGAGAAGATGGTAGGAGAGAATGGATGGAGAAAGAGAGAGAGAGAGAGAGAGAGAGAGAGAATGCGCGGCGCGAAGCCAGATATCGAGGGAAGAAAAGACAGAGAGGAGCAAGCATGGAGCAGAGAGAGAGAGAGAAGAGACGAGAGAGAGAGAGAGAGAGGACGGCGAGAAGACGCAGAGAATGACAACACGGACCAACGCAAATCGCGTGTTCGTAAAGGTAGCTTGCGGACAATGCAGCTATAGGCTTCCGCAGGCTGCTCAGCACGAGCTGCTGGGAGGCACACAGAGCATCACATCATACTGCATCCCAGAGCGGCAACGTAAAGAAACACGGGTAGATTAGCGGATGTGTGTAAAGGTTATATCTTACAGTATATAGATAGATATTATAATAGAGAATATATAGACATATATGAGATGGCTATTATTGTGTATTAGTTATTTAGTTATTTATGTATTAGGTAATTTATAGTCACACAGGCACGCACTCCCTCACGCACGCACGCCAGCACGGTACTCACTCACTCACGCACGCACGCACACACTCACGCACGCACGCACGCACGCACACACGCACGCACGCCACTAAACGCAGTACACGCACCACTCAGCTCACTCACTCCACGCGCGCACGCACGCACTCATGCACGTTACTGCACTCACTCACGCACGCACGCCACTCCACTCACGCCCGCATCGCACGCACGCACGCACGCACGCACTTCGATCATGAATCAGCGAGAGGCTTATGGCACGCATACATGCGAGTAGGACAAGGAGAGGTCTTCACAAAGCTGAGCATGTGCGATACGGTTGTACACGCGTACAGGACTGGCCCAGTAACAATACGACTACCTCTCCCCCGATAACTTAGTTCACTACATGTTGTCTATTGAAATTTGAGTTAGTTGTGTACTGTTTCAGCATTCGCCAACCTCTCCGGCATAAAGAACGACGTTCACCGAAGGACAGGACACCGACCGCGGGCATCTACAAGGAACAGATCTACAAAAGCAACTGCCCTCTCCTGCTCGTCCTCCTGGATCCCCCCCCCCACCGGTGAGCGATTCAGATGACGGCGTGAATTATCCGGCGTCATAAAGGAGCGTGTGATACTGACCGCCATCCTGTGGGATGACTGACCGTCAGCCTGTGCTCATCCCCGCAAAACGCAGTTAGCGCATTGACCATAAGCGCATGGACCGCCCGTCGGCCGCATTGGCGAAGCCGAAGCGCAATCGGTACGCGATGCGATGACAAAAAGCGATGCAGGAGCTAATTGACGACATGGCGACGATAGGTGCAACCAGCTGATGGAGACGACAATGAGCGCGTAACATAGGGAATCTACGGCACGCCGCCGAGGCTGATGATAGATATTATATATATATATATATATACAGCCGATATATTATATAATACCACGCGGATAGACTGCGGGTAGTTCGCAGCGGATGCTGCAAATTAACAAAAAAGCCGCGAGTTCAGTTGGCTATGTGCCATTCATCCGTCCGGCAGAGCGCGCATAGCGACACAGAGCCTACGCCGCCCCACAATTAAAGCGCAACAGATTCCATGGACAGTCAGAGGCGTATTCGATATCCGGATCTGTCGCTGGATTCGGTAGCACCGCGTTGCGATTGGAGTCTGCCAGGTTGAGTTGGTGGCCGTCGTCAGATTCGTCTGCGCGGTGCGTTATTCTGCCTCTAAGAACAGCCATTATGAAAACGAATGTTTGGCGAAAGCACTCCGACCGCGGATTAATGACATTCAGAATTCGTAGGCCCTAAACAAAGATCAATCTTTCGCCGGGCGTGGCGTGTATACGTGCCCTTGGTTACGTATGCCGTGCACGGGGTGGAAGCAGAAAAGTCTAACCGATAGCTAGGGTGGTTAGGCAGCTCGCGCTCTCGATCAAAGGACATGCTGCCTATTACTCAAGACTATTATCAGGTTTATTAACGGTGGGATGTGAATATTAGATAGGAGGCGATGTCTGACTGTGTGAGCGCGCGTCGGCGCGCGCCCGCGGGCGTGCGTGTGTGTGTGTGTTGTGCTGTGCGTGTGGGCGGCCGTGCGTGGCGTGCGGCGTCTCCGGCGTGCGTGTGTGTGGTGTGCCGCCCGCACGTGGGTGGGGGCGTGTGGGCGTGCGGGTCCATGTGATGCGGGCCCAATCGCCGTGCGCCACAGAAAACCTTAGGCCATTCAACGTCCTTCCGCCATGAAAAGAAAAAACCTGCCTGTAGTTGAACGACTTACAGGCAAGGTTGAAGACCGATCAGAGATCTGCGATTGCTCATCTGTCTGGCTGCTGCATCCGGTACCGTCTATACCGCCAAGCCGCGACGGGTCACAGGGCAACCGTCGAGGGCCTGCAGGCAGTGACACCACACACACGCCGCGCGCGGCGCAGACACACGGCACACAGCCACACCACGCGCGCGCCGCGCCTCACGCACACGCACACGCCCACACGTGAGCATACGCACAAGCGACGCACAAGCCACGCACCACCCACCACACGCGCGCGCGCGGCACAACGGCGACACGCCAGCACGCGCACGCACACACACACGCACAGCGCACACCACGACGCACCAAGCCACATCACGCAGCAAGCCACGCACACACAAGATCACGCGCGCGCACACGCACACGCACTACGCACACGGCCACACGCACACGCACACGCACACACGACACACACGCACACGCACACGCACACGCACATACGCACAACACGACACACCAGCACGCCACACCACACACGCACACGCACAAGCACATACGCACAAGCACGCACACACACAGACACGC